TAATATCCAAAATATTGGATATATTAGGCTAAATGTTTAATAATTGTGATTATTTTATATGTTGGTCAGTCTATATAAATTAAACCCATATCTGGAGCCAATTACATACCAACTCAACTTAAGTTTGTTTATTTTTTTATTCATCAGCTGGTCACAGCCAAATATAACTGGTTACAGTTAGATTCAATAACTAAATTTCAGATATTAGTCTTTTAATATTTAAGAGGTTTTTTGATTTCATAAAAAAAAAAACTCCTGAATCCACAAAAACTTTACAATTTATTGAAGGTTTTCTTGAAATAACTTACAACATATCCGATTATTATCTGGATGTTGCTACTGTTAAAAACTATCAAAATGTATTATTTTTGAGCGATTACATTTTATGTACGCATTATATAGTTTACTGATTAAGCAACATTCCTCTCTTGTATCTCTAGCTATTAAGAGCTAAATGTCATGAATGGCACATGTAACTTAAATGTAATTATCTTGTTCACATTGTTAATCTTTCTAGATATAAATGTCCAATATTTTAGATCACTATAACAATGTGATCTAAAAATGTCATTGAGAAATCCACTCAAGCAAATTTATACATGCGTGTATCTCCTTTTAATGTTACTGTATGTTAGCCACTTTACAGCTATAACTAAGATCTATAGAATTGTTTGGTAACAGCAATTATAACTGAATGTGTAAATGCTATTGTATGATACTCTATAAGCATGTTGATTAATTTAGGGTTGATCTGTGAGGTTTATGAGATGATAACTGTTTGCTTTCGGCTGCAGTAATCTCTTCTTCTTAAGATGTGGTTTGGTTTTGTATGGTCATGCCCAGGACTTCCTCAATGTCCTTGATAAGGTCCTTATAAAAGCAAACAATAGCAGATATTCAGTCAGTATATGTCTGACTACTGTACAGATCCTAACCTCTAGCCTCTGGACAGTGAATGTTTTTTTCTATAAAATTAAGTAACATTGTGTTGAATGCAGCTATTCAGGAAGTGTCAATGAATCTACAGTTCACTCACAGTATCCAACATTGTCTACAGAGTTCTACATTTGAATGACTTCAGCTGCAGATAGTATAGATAGAGATAAAGCATTGACTTTTTGAAATTAATACCTTGTGTATTGTATAAAATGTTATTATGACACACAATTGATGTTTTCTCAAAACATGTGCTCAAGTATGATGAGTTCTCACCTGAATTTGACCAAAAGCTCAAATTCACTACTCTTCGCCCCAAAACGTTTCAGCAAAACTTTGGTATAATGTTGGTAATAATAAACTTTAGTTATAATACTAACAATAATGTATTTAGAATAGCATATTTAGAAAAGATTGCAACAAACAGTTAGCTGCAAACTGGAAGTTAACTATTTTTTTCGCTGAACCTGTATGGCCCAGTCTATTCATCATTTGTCAAAGGTAATATGCTGCCAATTGTTGTCCCAAATTTAAATTTGACTTGAAAAATATGAGATTATTAAATTAAACAAACTTGAACACTATGAAGGATGAAGTTTATTATTACTAGCATTACACTAAATTTTTGCAGAGCCTTTTGGAGCAAGTGGTGGAGTGAACTTGATGCAACTCCTACTAAGTGACTGATTCTTACTGCTGCATTGTGGATATATTTTTGTTAATTATTTGATGGTCATAATTCATTCTTTGTCTTTGTAAAGTGACACTGAGTGTTCGAAAGGAACTAAAACCATGATGTTATATGGTGAAACCATCAAGAATCATTGTGATTAATGTCCAACACTCTTAGAAAAAAAGGTACCAAACTGTCATGGGGTATCAATATGTATTAATATTAAGTATTAATATGTACTTTTTAAAGTACTAATATGTAGCATTTAGGGGTAAATAAGGTTCTTTTGTACCTTATGGTATCACCCCAGTGACAGCTTTGTACCTTTTTTCTAAGAGTGTAATTTGTAGATACATGATCTGAACGTGAAACATCTGAATAGTATTGTTTTCTATAATGTGAAGTGAAGAACATACCATTAGCAGGTCTTTTAGGAGTAGGTTAAGAAAAAACGACATCCGCATACCTTAAAATTGTTTGTTCCTTGCATGTTTGGAGCTGATATTTCCTGATGAATGATTGACAGGTTGCGAGCAAAGGTCAGCAGAGCTCCCTGGAGATCCTCCGAGATTGTTCTGTTAACGACACGCAGAAACAAACGAGCTTACTAATGATCCCCCAGAACCATCATCAGAGAAAAACAAAAAAACAATCACCTTGTTTGGCTGTGGGGCTGTAAGGAGCTTAATGAGAACTCTCAGCCTTAAAGAGTGTGCTATTCTTCAGGGAGAAATGAGGAAGGAAAGCAGGGCTTCAATGGGATAGGTATAGGATTTATGTGATGAATGCCTTTAATTCGACTTGGCAGTATTTTGTGCGCAGCCACATTTCGGGTTGAGGTATTCACTACATAATGTTTAATCTGCACTTGGGAGTGTGCTCAAGGTCTAGATATATCTCTAATGGTAAAGGGGACAGAGGAAGGGAAAACAGAGCCAGAGAAAGATAAGGGTAATGTGTCTGCCTGCTTCTTGTGGGAACTCACAGCATGCCAAGGCTTCTTCGATCTCTGCTGTCATGGAGGGCGAACACAGTGCCTTGCCTTGCCTGAAACACATATAAAATATATTGAAACACTTGCTCTGCAATCAAAGAACTCCAGTTGTATTATTGGAAAACAAGCAAAGGTTTTACCTTGACATCATAACCTATGCCCTGCGCTTTGCACATCAGAAAAAATGTGCTATAATACACCAAAGAAAGATTGGTGTGAAGAAGTCGGGTGCACATCACTGCAAAGCGATTGGTTACTGCGGTTTGCTGAGGAGAGAGCAAATACAACAGAGAGTTAATCAACAAACTGCATGTGATTCTGTTGCTAAAAATTTGACCAGTACATCTAAATGATAAATTGACCTCTCGGGGACAGCAATAACAGCCACGCTAGAAACAAATAGAAGGGTTTCAAAAGCCCAAACGGAGAAACATTAGGCATTAGTCTCATAGTCATATAGGGCACTGGGGAGAAAGAGTCCTGCGTTATTAGGTTATACAGAAAACAGAAAGGTTTCCTCTAAAACCCAACTACGCTCACAGACACGGCAGATAAAAGATGTGTCTAAAAGAACGCCACAGGAGCGGATTAGTTAAGAGTGGCAGGACTCGCAGGACTCGTAGCGGGCATGAGGCATATTCTCAGTGACAGATATGAAGCGGAGGGTAAAGCCCTTGCACGGTGTGCGGGGCATGAGTAATTCTCTGCTATGGAACTCTGTTTTCAGCTGTCAGACACACTATCCTCAAACAACAATAAAAAGCTTTTCCTGCAGGGTTTTAATTGTGTTTGTAATATTCTGGGCCTGAATGATGGCCAAAGCCGGAGCCATTAAGACAGGCAGGCGGGAGCCGGGCGAAATAAGCACATACAAACTAAATGAATGTTTGATAAAATAATACAAGTCGCAGATTAACAAGCGTAAACTCCGGTTTGCCGCTAATAAAGGAAGTCTATTGTTTAGGGGCTGGCATCAGGTTGATGAGGTGCTCAGGCATGCATTCACATGCATAATGAATATGGTATGCATTATTTATGGGCTGTTTATTTAGGCTCATCTATCAAAATGATAATGAATTCAACTTCTTCTAAACACCAATCAGGTCGGAAGCGTAATTACAGCGTTTAGTTGTATTTAACCAAAATAAAACAACAAAGCTTAGCTAGATCAATCTTTATGGATGCCGTGATTTATCAGGATAATATTCAGCAGAGGACTTTTATTGCTCTCTGGTCTGGTCTCAGGGAACACCTTCGGGATAATGGCATTCTTGTGCTTTAAAGAGCTAAAAGAATCCCAAACAGTTTAGAGCGTAACCTTTAAAGTGACGTTTTTCACCTGAAATTTAAATTTCTGTCATCATTTACTCACCCTCAGGACCTGTATGACTTTATTCTACTGAGGAACACAAAGAAGATAAGTATAGCAAGATGTCCATGCTGCTCTTTTCCATGCATTAAAACGGAATGTT